CCAACCATTCCCATTTTATTACGGTGTATCCATATAAATGGTCCACCCTGTACTTTAACCTAAAAATCAGGACCCATTATTGAATCAACAGCTTGTGTCTTGCCTTTAAAGTAACATAACTGATTTTTACTCCACTAGTTTGCTCGTTCTACACCCTAGAAGACGTTGTGTATAGTATTTAAATACAGCGACTTGTTTCACTCAGGATTACTTAAGCTTTCATCCAACTTTAATGTGGCCCAGCCTTTATTTCTCCATTTGCTTGGGTGTCTCCTAACGGGGTGGCAAGTAAGTGAAGGCGACCATCAGTTTTCCTTTTCAAAACGGTTTTGTTGCATTGCTAAATGTTGTATATGACAGTGACTCAAGATATTGGTCATTATCCAATTCAAATAAACTTGAGTGTTAAATCACCAAAAATTTATATCTTCTTATATCTCTCCCCTGTATAATATCAGTTAACATTTTGATAGACAAGTCCATTGTCTCTCAGATTCTCTCTGGCTCCTGATTATCATCTAAGGGCTGGGTTTCTTTGGCTGTTGTCATGGAGCCCAGCCTTTGAGCAGCACAAACAGAGGTGTGTGTGTGCGTGTGTGTGGTGTGTGTGTGTGCTTATGTGGTTATGTATACTGACTTTCTTTCTGTACCTTCACAGTGTACTGTGTCAGTGAACTGAGTGACTCATGGATGAAGATGAGACTGAGTCGGAAGTGAGTAGGGGACAAAAAGAATATATAAATAACTAAAAGATCAGAAGGATGCCTCCAAAAAGGAAAAACGATGCTATAATTCAGGCTGAAGATGGTGAGAAGATGTTTTAATGCTATTATAGGGAAAACTGACTCATTCATTCATTGCTATATTTATTTAAACATTTGAATCTAAATGGTTGTATTCATGCATCTGTTCAGTTGGGATGGAGGTGGATGCTACGTTGGACAGTGGGAGTGAAGGTAAGTCATATGGGACAATTTTTCTGTCTTTAGTTTAATTGAAAGAAAACGTTTTGAAAATGTTTATAGCTTTTAAGGCATTTTCGGCCCTTTTTGTCAGTTCTTATTGTTGATGGTTGTATTTGTTCAGGGACATGTTATTGCATTTTCAATATCAAACCTTGTGTAAAAAAATAATATATATTTGTATGTGTGTGTGTGTGTGTGTGTGTGTGTCTTAGATGAGGCCAGAAGGAGAAGCAAAAACAGAAGAGCCAAAGCACAGCGTAAAACCAAACAGGTCAGTGATGATGAGGATGATGAAGAAGATGAAGATGAGGCACCGAGGAAAAGGGGACGAAGGAAGAGGACCAAGCCCCAAGACAGTGACCAAGACGATGAGGAAGACAAACGAAGGGTGAGACAGAAAGGAGCCAAAGCTCCCAGGAGGAAAGCTGCAAATGAGGAGCGTGATGAGGAGAGCGAAGAAGATCAGGGTAAAAGGAAGAAAGGAGGAAGAGCGCCTTCCAAACAGGAGAAAGAGGATCAGAATAAGGAGAAGAAGGGAAATGTTAAAGGCAAAGACGAGACAAATAAAGGCAGTGAGAAGGACAAGAAAAAGAAGAATGGAAAGCAGAGCAGGTGCAGTATTCTCTGAGAGCTGTATTTCACCTACGGTTTCGTCCATAAATATTTACAGATATAGGTGGGTTTTTTTTCTTGGCTCTGTAAATGACCACTATGAAATTTAATTCAAACAACTCAGATGCAGTTGAAGTGCAGACTTTCAGCCTTAATTCAGTGGGTTGTCCAAAATAAATTGCATAAAAATTTGAGGGACTAAAGCAATTTCTTTAAACACAATCCCTTCATTTCAGGGGCTCAAAAGTAATTGGACAAATTAAATAACTGAAAATAAAATGTTCATTTCTAATACTTGGTTGAAAACCTTTTGCTGACAATGATGGCATGAAGTCTTGAGCTCATGGACATCACCAGATGCTGTTTTATTTCCTTTTAAATGCTCTGTCAGGCCTTTACTGCAGCGGCTGTATGTTTTGGGTTATTGTCCATCTGTACTATCAAATGCCAATCAATTTGACCGCATTGCTGGGACGGGATTGCTGTTATCAAATTCAAAACGTGCTTCAAAATGGTACATCTTCACAGTTACACATCTGTTGTCTTTGTTCCATTGTGAATAAAATATGTGTTTATGAGATTTGCTACTCAATGCATTGTGTTTTTATTTACATTTTACACAGAATCCCAGCTTTTTTGGAACTGGGGTTATTAAGTGAACACTGCACCGTGTGCAGTTAGATATAAATCTACTAATTAAAACCACCAGGAAAGCTTTTCTTGAGGTGATGAATCGTGTGAGAATTACGCCTTCTCAAAGTCATTGCGAGTGACGGTTGCTTCCCTTTGGCAGCTCTCCAGCTTCTTCCTCTGAAGACGAGTCTGAAGACGAGTCTGATGAAGAGTCGATGTCAGAGGGAGAGATCGCTGCCCTGAAAGAACAAGTAGAAGAAAAGAAGAAGCTGATAGCTACATTAAGGAACAAACCTTGGCGGATGAAGAGGAGGCTCGTACTGCTAAAGTAAAAATGAAAACAAAAAACTGTGGCCAACTCTTAATCCTCTTCTTTGGCCTGCTTTTTGTTACAACCGTAACTTCTGTTCATTAAAGATGTTGTTCATTTTGAGTGCCTTTTTAAAATTGCTTATTACTCCATTTTTGCTGGTGCACATTTTCTTTTAATACCATGTGAAGTTGGACATTTATTATTAAATCTTGCTCACTGCTACTTTACCTCTTTGGTACTTCCACTCATCTAGATCTAGGCTTTTATTCATCTACAGTGCATCTGGAAAGTATTCACAGCACTTCACTTGTTCCACATTGTTTTACAGCCTTATTCCAATATTCCAACATAATCTGTAAATGGAAGAAGTTTGGGACCACCAGGACTCTTCCTAGAGCTGACTGCATGGCCAATCTGAGTGATCGGGTAGAAGGGCCTTAGACAGGGAGGTGACTGAGAACCTGATGGTCATTTTGACAGAGTTCCAGTATTGTTCTGTGGAGAAAGGAGAACCTTTCACAAGGACATCCATTTCTGCAGCACACCACCAATCAGGCCCATGTGGCAGAATGGCCAGACAGAAGCCACCTGAATGCCAACTCGTTGGCCCGTCATGTCTGCATCATCATGCAGACACCTCTCATCACCTGGCCAATACCATTCCTACAGTGAAGCATGGTGGTGGCATCATCATGCTGTGGCGATGTTTTTCAGCAGCAGGAACTAGATGCTTTATGGACCTCAGACTGGTCTGGTTTATGTTCCAGCAAGACTGCGACCCTAAACGCACAGCCAGGATGACAAGAGTGGCTTTGTGACCGCTCTGTGAATGTCCTTGAGTGGCCAACTCTGAGCCCAGACTTGAAGCACAGTCATCTGAATATGGCTGTGCTCTCCATCCAATCTGATGGAAGGGTTCTGAAAAGAAGAATGGGAGAAACTGCCCAGAAATAGGTGTTTCAAGCTTGTAGCATCATAATCATAAAGACTTGAGGCTACAATCATTGCTAAAGTATTGAGCAAAGTGTGAGAATACTTACAGTACATGTATGTGATTTTTGCAAGAATTCCGAGGAAAATTTTGTTTACTCAACATCACAATGGACATATTGAATGCAGAACAAAATGAACTTAATCCATTTTGGAACAAGGCTGTAACATGACAAAATGTGAAACAAGTGAAGTGGTCTGAACACTTTCTGGATGCACTGTATGGAAATTCTGCCCTTTGTGGAATTTGTATACATGACAACAGGGTCCTATAAAATCTCAGCACAAGCCAAGCTGGCTGTATCTCAGCCTGTTAGATATGTTAGAAGACAGCAAACTGTTCTGGCTTCCTAGCCAGGGCTAAGGCTTGTGTAAGTCAGTGTGTGTTTGTGAGGTAAGTATGTATGTTTGTTATGTATGTAGGCAAGTTTCTGGAAAGGGAACATGATAGCCGAGTTGCCTTAACTTTTCATGAGCTTGACACTGTTTAATGCATGTTGTTGTGGTGAGCTGACCTCCTGCTTGCTGTGTCTTCCTGCCAGTGCTCTTAACATATGCAGCGTGTCATCAATCAGTAAATCATTCCAAACCTGTTGTTTGTACATCCTGTTCACTAACTAAATAATTAATTCACTGAGTAGATCATGATTTTCAGTTGGATGTGGGCATGTATGGTATTTCATTGCTGAACATTTGTGTACTGCCTGAAACAGGGAGGCCCAGGAGTTTGTTGAAAAATTCGAAGGTGCTCTCGGGAAAGGAAGAGGCAAGAAGTTGTATGCGTTTAAAGTCATGATGACCAAGGTAATGTCCTCACTGTGCAAAATGCATTGATTTATAATTTGAGTAATATTGTTTAAGTTTGCTTCTCTGCACTCTCCCCTAGAAACTTATCAAGTTTAATCGGGACTTTGAGAACTTCAAAACAGCTTGTATACCCTGGGAGAGGAAGATAAAGGAAGTAGAAAGTTGGTACCACAAAACCAAATAATCACTAAGCTATAATCTTACATTTGCTAATAAGCTGTCCTCACAATTATGTATTTTCACCCCACCCCCTTCCCCCCAGGTCATTTTGGATCATCGGTGGCATCTTACTTCATTTTTCTGAGGTGGATGTATGGCCTGAACCTGATCCTGTTCGGGTTCATGTTTGGTCTGGTGGTGCTGCCAGAGGTAGGCTTTGTCTTTATGTATGCTAGCAGCCAATAGCTAATGTGGCAAATGCTGAGCTCTCTCCATCCATCTCTCCATCCCTCTTCTCTGCATTTAGGTTCTCATGGGTCTCCCCTATGGCTCCATTCCCCGGAAAACTGTGCCACGATCTGAACAGGACACAGCCATGGACTTCTCAGTGCTCTTTGACTTTGGTGTGAGGATCCTAGCTTCATGCATCCCTTAATTCATTTTTTCCTCACACACGAGCTCTCTTTTTTCCCCAGACTGGCTAACAGTAGTTTTTGCCCTTATACCAAAGAAAAGAAAAATACATTTTTTTTAAAATTTCTAATACTTGTTTTTGTTTTGTTTTTTTTTAACTTTTGATAATGTTTTGGTAAGACCTGGTGACTGTGGATGCCATAAGAGTTCAGTTAACTCAGTGTCAAGTTCAAGTAGCCAGCCTGAGTTTCTTGTTCTTAGATGAGGAGAGCATCACCTGCTGTTGTAGCTCACCTGCTTCAAGGTTTAAGATGTTTAGAGAGGCTTTCTGCATATCTTGGTTTTAGTTCCCTTTCTATCAGCTTAAAGGCTTCTTGCCATTCTCCTCTGACCTCTGGCATTGAAACAGCATTTTATCCCAGAAAATTACAGCTCACTGGATATTTTCTCTTTTTTGGACCATTCTCTATAAACTCTAGAGATGGTTGTGTAGGAAGGCACAAGTTGATCAGCAGTTTCTGAACTACTCAGACCGGCCTGCTGGCACCAACAAGAATTCCTGGATCACTTAAATCACTTTCTTCTGAATTCTGGTACTCAATTTGAACTTCATGGCAGCACAATGGTGGTTATGAGGATCAGCACCTCCAAATCTGAGGCCATGGTTCTCAGCCGGAAAAGGGTGGAGTGCCCA